CGAACCCCACCTCCTCCATCATCCCTACCTGAACCTCCGCGACGAAGACTACTGCCAGCACTTCAACGCACATCACCGGCGACAACATTCCTGATGCCACGTCAGCCACTGTCCTCACCACCATCGCCTTCGTCATCAGCAGCGTTGACTCGATTTCAAACCCTCACCGTTTGCGATCGTGCCTGGCCGGGACTGGCGTACCAGTGCCATGAGTTCCGACATATGCCCATCGGATCCGCTTCAAATGTCTACACCGACCACATACATTTGCGCGCCGTATAGGCGTCTGCGGCCACGAGAATGGAATTCCCCGCAATATCGGCAAGTGAAGCACAAACTACATATCTGACATATCTCCAATCTCCAAAAACGTGGTGGACATTAGCAGCAGGCCCTGATGGTGTCCCAGTAAGCATTTTAAAAGCCGATGCGTACACGATCTTCCCATCCCTCTTATGCAAGATATTTAATCTTGCTCTTGAAAGTGAAACTTATCCTACCTTGTGGAAGGAATCACACATTTTGTCCATTCCTAAGCACGGAAAATCTACGTCATTTGATGACTTTCGGCCAATAAACACCCTCCCGGCAGTTTCGAAGATCTTAGAGACATTTATCAAAGAGAAGATGATGTGTCACTTAACAGTGAATAACTTACTGAGTGCTGCTCAGCATGGATTCCTCAAAGCTCGATCTTGTGACACCTGTCAACTCTCTTTCCTTGACTATGTTCTCCAATCTAGGGACAATGGTTTTGCACTTTACACAGTATATTTCGATTTCACTAAGGCTTTTGATCGTGTTGACCATGCTCTTCTTCTCTTGAAACTGTTCTCCTTCGGAATAGGTGGCAAACTTTTGAATTTTATATCCTCTTACCTGGGAACTCGTACACAACGAGTTAAGATTTCAAATACCATCTCCAACCCCACACGTGTGAGGAGTGGAGTCATTCAGGGTAGTGTACTCGGCCCGCTTTTATTTTGCCTTTTCTTTAATTATGTACCCGATTTATTTCAGAATGGTAAGCCTTTCATGTATGCCGATGATCTTAAAGTTGCATATCGATATAAGCCGACAGATCACGACATCGTGCTCGAGCTCCTAAAGAGCGATCTACAGGCTTTCGCCCAGTGGTGCCGCACATGACGCCTTTCTCTCTCTTGGCATAAGTGCTCAGTCATGGTGGTTGGCGACGACCGCCAACCTCAACTAAGTATTGAAGGTCACGCAATAAATGTGCCAGGGGTTATAAAGGATTTGGGCGTATCATATTCCAAGAGTCTCAATCTCTCGGAGCACTGTGCCTTGATAGTCTCAAAAGCACGTAGAACGACCGGGTTTATCCTCCGAAATTTTAAAACAAGGGACATTAGAATGCGCCTTTTCAACATGTACTTTAGACCTGGTCTGGAATACTGTTCGTTTTCATTTAGCCTCATGCGTGCTACTGAGCGGAAGAAAATAGAATACGTTCAACACTTTTTTACCAAGAGAATTGTAGCCGCGGATCACCGACATTTGTCTTACCAAGAACGTTGCCGGCTTACAGGCGTCGATCCTTAATGGTTCCGTAGATTACAAAAGGGACTATTTTTGCTATTTAAACTCTTATATAATCATACATTTAACTCACTGACCTCATTAAGACATCATATCCACCCACGACGTAACAGTCACCATGAGGTCTTTTTATTTCTTCCTCTGGCACGTACTGTTAAATATCGTCGGTTCTATTCTGTAAATGCAATTGCTATTTGGAATAAACTACCCATGAGTGTGAAAACTATGCAAAATTATCCTTTGTTTAGGAGAACTATTACTCGATTTTTGCATTCAGAAAAGCTCCCACAAATTTTGGGTGCTCAATCCACTGATCGACTTTACCGTAGAGATGGCGTTAGTGGTCTCTGAACACAATGGCCGGTCTCGCCAGCTGTTCCTCAACGCCTCTACTTTTACTATCCCCAACTTTAGGAAAGAAATTGACGTCCGATAATTTCCGATATTGTGCAACCCTCCTGCCTTTCTTGACGGTCGAAACTCTACCACCAGTAGTTTTTTTTCTCCTGAACCCTCAAAACCATGAAAACCACCATCAACTGCATATTTATTTTTTCTCTAACTCAGAAGTTTTTTTTCACTGCTGGTCGGATTTGTGTTTAATCGCTTCCCTTGACAATGCCTGTAAATTGGCATTAAATAAATTACTACTACTACTACTACTACTTTTAAATTCACAACATGCACTGACCTGATCAGTCTCTTGCGAATCCAGACCGTGTAGGACTACCACCTGACACTCAACTCATAATTCCTCACTAATAACAATCCGACGTGTCTGAATCTATCACTGTGCGGTAAGAACCGTGGCTCGGAAAGTTGCCAACTGCCGATTCAACTCAGACCTTTCAGCCAGTCACCGTCATCAACACAGGTGATTCCATTCCACGCCACAGTCGATGTCGCCGAACCCCGCCTCCTCCATCATTCCTACCTGAACCTCCGCGACGAAGACTACTGCCAGCACTCCAACTGCCATCACCGGCGAGAACATTCCTGACGCCCCGTCAGCCACTGCCCTCGCCACCATCGTCTCCGTCGTCAGCAACGTAGACTAGATTCCAACCCCTCACCGCTGTGATCGTGCCTGGAAGGGACTGGCGTACCAGTTCCAGGAGTTCCGACATATGCCCATCGGATCCGCCTCAAATGTCTACACCGACCACATACATTTGCGCGCCGTATAGGCTTCTTCGGCCACGAGAATGGAATTCCCCGCAATATCGACAAGTGAAGCACACACTACACATCTGACATATCTCCAATCTGCAAAAACGTGGTGGACAGTAGCAGCATCACAACCGCTCAGCAGTTGCAAACTCAGCCAAACCACATTTCCGTCGCAAATTCACAACATGCACTGGCCTGATCGGTCACCTGCAAATCCATCACACAGAGGCTGGAGCATCAACATACACCAACCATACTCAGCCTGACTGCTTACGCTGACCACGCAAATGCAGTCACCAAATGGACGTATTCTGTCACAGGAGCAAACATGAAAACCTGCGGTGAAACACCGTCAGTCAAGCCAAATAAGCACGCCTCTCCTCACCAGCAAACACACACACAGCACAGACGAATGCGGTGGCTGTCAGCCACCGATAGTTCAACCGTCGCAGCCGACAATATCTACCGTGTGACCCATAGCGAGTTGAAGCAGGCAGGGTGAATGCATGGGAATCGGTTTATAATGGGAGTAGGCTTGCACTGCATCTTCCGCACGCCCTCCTTTTTCCCCCTGGACCCGTTGACAACACATAGACAACAAGACCGAAGGCGGGAGAAGGCGCAGGTGGATGGGACGGCCGGACTCGCACCTAGGCGTAATCCTGACGTAAATGATAATGTCCTCACGAATTAACGAGTTATATCTCACGAGCCCCTAGCCTTAAAGCAAGCAAGTAAGTCTGAGTAGTAATTAATATAAAGATTTTGAACGTTAAGTAACCTGACAACACAGCGCGGCAGCAAATCAGTCCAGCATGGCGGGTGTGTTCTGTTATCGTCACATTCAAACAAGCAATCCAGGCAAAGAAAACGAGACTAAATCGTCAAGGATAAATTTGTCCGGTGCCTCACTACAATCCCAACCCCCTGGTCCACAACAAACACATGACCAGAATTTTAACCAAGAACAGTATCAAAACGAGTCTGAATGGCGAGGAAGACTGGGCAGTCATGCACACAATCTGCATACCCAGAGGGAGCGTACGTGCATCTACCGGCAGGGAATCAGGAGTCAGAGAACTGCCATCCTACACCAGGGTGCAAGGACGGTGGTTTTCTGATCCTGGCCTAGCAGACGCTTAGATTCCTTGAGCATCGCCCGATACAAGCACGGGAAGGGCACCCCACACGCAAGAGGTAATCGCGTTCTCGTTCCCCTTTCCATGTCGCCTCCATTTTATTAAAATACGACAGGAAACCGAGCCAGCAAATGAACGCTAGGCGTAGTCTCACCTGCAGGCAGGTGAGCGACCACTACGACCATCACGTGAACCCACAGCTGGACACCTCTACACCCCTACACACACACTCACACACACACACACGACCGTTTGACCATCGATTTCGATTATGTCCACCGTGTGCCCCACAGACTGCATTGTGGAGCAGGGACGGTGACTTACGCAGGGGTTTGTTAGTGCCAGTAGACTTGCGTAGCATCTACCTACACTCTCTCCTCCTCGCCCGTCTGAGCCCGGTGTCAAGACAGAGTCAAGAAGACCGGAGACGGGGGAGGCCGCATGTGGATGGCTCGGACGGATCCTCGCCTTGGCGTTCCATCACACCCCCTGGTCCACGCAACAATAACCAGGATTTCAACCAACACAAGAGAGATTTGGAGGCTGGCACGGCCGAAGCCGCACCTAGGCGTGCCGCCGTCGCCTGACTCGGATCCCACACTGTGGTGAGAGTGCCATAAAGGCCACATTAAGAAGGAGCCAATGTAGCCTGACTCTCAGAAGGCCTCCGGTTAAGGAGGAGGTCCAAGGTACCCCGTCAGTTGGCAACCTTCCAAGCCAAGGCTTTTAGCGCACCGTGATGGCTTCAAGCGCGTTAGATTGATTATAGTGAGGAGAAAGTGCGCTGAGTCGTCGACCTCACTCACCCTTCCCATTCCCAAACCCCAGCCGCCGTCCGAGCCGGTCGGGATAGTCTCGGACTCAAGTCACCCGTGCAGCCGAAGCCGCATGGGGACCGAGTCGAGATGCACACTTCCCACTTGCGTGGAAGGTAGCAGTTTGGTGCATGCGATGGGTGAGCGCTGATGTGTGTTGGTGATAGTGAAGGAGGGTAGGGGGTGTGTGGAGTATGGTGTAGCCGGCGGTTGTCTACCGCAGGTCGTCGTGGATGCGCATGTGACCGAATAGACCCATGCGATGAATGAAATTGCGAGGACAGTGTGGGCAGTTGAGACGAGCTTGATGGGTTTAGGTTGGTGCTCCAGGCACTGGTTCTCCAGTCTCTGTGCGATGGATTCGCCAGTGATCGACCAGACCGATGCGTGAGGTGAATGTTCGTGGGCAGTGTGGGCACGAGAAGTCGGCGGTGTCGGTGTCGGCTGCAGAGGAAGCGGTGGTGGTAGTGGTGGTGATGAGAGAGCAGAGCGATGAAGCGAGGGTGAGGCTGGGCATGGTGAATGTGTTGGATGTGGTTTGTGTGTCGGAATTGTGGTCAATTCCGCTCTCGTGGATGCGCATGTGGCCGAATAGACCCATGCGATGCGTGAAGGTGCGAGGGTAGTGTGGGCAGTGGAGGCGAGTGCGGTGGGTGTAGGTTGATGCTCCAGGCACTGGTTCGCCGGTCTCTGTGCGATGCATTCGCAAGTGACCGATCAGGCCGATGCGTGAAGTGAAGGTGCGATCGCAGGGAGGGCAGGTGTAGGCCCGGTCCTCACCTCTGATGACGGAGGTTGCAGGGTTTATGCCCGTTGTTGTGTCAGGTGTGGCTGTGGTGATGTCGTGCGCGACAGACGCCGGAGTGGCCGTCGTTGTGACAGTGAAGGAGGAAGAGGAAGAGGAGGAAGGGGAGGAGTGAGGGGTGGTAAAGTCGGCGGCGTCGATGTCGGTTGGGCAGTTGTTCGTGGGTGCACAAAGTGATGAATTGGGAGTGGGGCTCGGCGGGGTGGGTGTGTCGGGGCTGCAGTGAATTCCGCCCTCGTGAATGCGCATGTGACCAAATAGTCCCATGCGATGCGTGAATGTGCGAGGGCAGTGTGGGCAGTGGAGGCGAGTGCGGTGGGTGTAGGTTGGTGCTCCAGGCACTGGTTCACCAGTCTCTGTGCGATGCATTCGCAAGTGACCGACCAGGCCGATGCGTGAATTGAAGGTGCGGTCGCAGTGAGGGCAGGTGTAGTCCTGATCCTCATCACTGGAATCGCAAGAGTTGGGGGTGGTGTCGGTTGTTGTGTCGGGGTTGATGGGCGAGACGGCAGCCTGAACGGCCGCCGCTGGGGCAGTGGAGGAGGAGGAGGAGGAGGAGGAGGAGGAGGAGTAGGATGGAGGTGGTGGTGGTGGTGGTACAGAAGAAGTGTCAGAGTTAGTTGGCGGTAGAGAGGACGAAGATGAGGCGGGCAGAGGAACGATGGTTGGGGCAGTTCGAGAGGCGCACTTGATTCGAAGATGTCCAACAAGTCTGATTCGAGCCCGGAATGTACGTTAACATCGAGGACACGTAGGGAGCGGTTGTGCGGCGGCGTTGCGTACTGGGCGAGGTTGTGATTTGCGGGCTTCGCGCTTCGCTTTGGCGGCAGCGATGCGGTTGGCTTCGTGGATAGCTGCACCCGTCTTTACTGTTCTCCTCCATGTCGGACGATCGCGGGCGAGCTCTTCCCAGTTGGTCGGGTTGATTTGCAGGCGCTTCAGGGAGGACTTCAGAGTATCCTTGTAGCGGCGAATTTGGCCTCCTTGACGACGAGAACCCGTCGCGACGTCTCTGTAGAAGAGTCGTTTGGGTAGTCGCTCGTCGTCCATGCGCACCAGGTGGCCGCTCCAGCGCAACTGCATTTTTCTCAGCATGGAGTAGATGCTGAGCATTCCCGTCCGTTCTAGCACGCCAGTGTCGGGGATTCGATCCTGCCACTTCAGCCTCAGGATGCGACGGAGACAACTGAGGTGGAAGTGGTTCAGTCGACGTGCCTGCCTCGTGTACACCGTCCAGGTCTCTGCTCCATACAGTAGCGTCGGCAGGATGACGGCCTTGTACATCTTCAGCTTTTTGTTCAGTTGAAGATCGTGACGGTTCCAGACAGTGCTTTGGAGGCGACCGAAGACTTGACTGGCTTTCGAAATCCTGCGGGCCACATCGTCATCGATCTTGGTGTTGCGGGATAGGGTATTGCCTAAGCATGGGAAGTTCCCCACCACTTGCAGTTGGGTTCCGTTCACGCTGATTTGTGGCGCGTTGGGGGGGGGTGTGGCTGTGTTGGGTGGCGGTTCATGCATGACCACCGTCTTCTGCATGTTGATGACCAGACCGAAGTTCTCGTATGCGGCAGAGAAGAGGTCCATGCTGCGTTGCATCTCCTCTTCCGAGGCGGTGTTTAGGGCGCGGTCGTCGGTGAAGAGGAGTTCGTGCACGGTGGTTGTGGATACGCGCGATTGGAAGTGCATCCGTCGTTGATTCAGGAGGTGACCGTCCGTCCTGTAGGCGATGCGGATCCCCGGCTTTCATCACGATAGGCATCCATCAGCATGGCAGAGAACATAAGACTGAATAGGGTGGGCGTCAGAACACATCCCTGTTTCACTCCGTTGGTCACTGCGAATGCCTCTGAGATTGCTCCGTTGTCCGTGACTCGCGCCATTATACCGTCGTGCAGCTGACGCACCATCTGAGTGAATCGCTCCGGACAGCTGAATTTCTGCATGATCTTCCACAGTCCTTCACGATTCACCGTGTCGAAATCTTTCGTCAGGTCCACGAAGGTAGAGTACAGGTGGGTCCGCATCTCCTGACACTTCTCCTGAAGTTGACGGGCGGCGAAGTTCACATCCGTGGTCCCACGATGACGACGAAAGCCGCATTGGCTTTCCGGCAGAAGACCCTGTTCCAGATGGTTATTTAGGCGGTTGAGCAGGATGCGAGCGAAGAACTTCTCGGCGATTTTCAGCAAGGAGATGCCACGGTGATTGACGCAGACTTGGCGGTAACCTTTGCGCTTGTATAGGTGCACGATTGTTGCGTCTTTGAAATCTTGCGGGACTTCACCTTGACGCCACATCTCCTGGCCTCGCAACCACCGCCTCCGTCATCAGCAGCGTAGACTCGATTGCAACCCCTCACCGCTGCGATCGTGCCTGGCCGGGACTGGCGTAACAGTGCCAGGAGTTCCGACATATGCCCATCGGATCCGCCTCAAATGTCTACACCGACCACATACATTAGCGCGCCGCATAGGCTTCTTCGGTCACGAGAGTGGAATTCCCCGCAATATGGACAAGTGATGCACATGCTACACATCTAACATATCTCCAACAGTGTGGTGGACAGTAGCAGCATCACAACCGCTCAGCAGCTCCCAACTTATCCTGTCCACATTTCCGTCGCAAATTCACAACATGCACTGACCTGATCAGTCACTTGCGAATCCAGTACACAGAGGCTGGAGCATCAACATACACCAACCATACTCAACCTGACTGCTTACGCTGACCACGCAAATCCAATCACCAAATGGACGTATTCGGTCACAGGAGCAAACATGAAAACCTGCGGTGAAACACCGTCAGTCAAGCCAAATAAGCACGCCTCTCCTCACCAGCAAACACACACACAGCACAGACGAATGCGGTGGCTGTCACCCACCGATAGTTCAACCGTCGCAGTCGACGATGTCTTACCGTGTGACCCACAGCGAGGTGAAGCAGGCAGGGTGAATGCATGGGAATCGGTTTATAATGGGAGTAGGCTTGCACTGCATCTTCCGCACGCCATCCTTTTTCCCCCTGGGCCCGTTGCCAAGACATAGACAACAAGACCGAAGGCGGGAGAAGGCGCAGGTGGATGGGACGGCTGGACTCGCACCTAGGCGTAATCCTGACGTAAATGATAATGTCCTCACGAATTAACGAGTTATATCTCACGAGCCCCTAGCCTTAAAGGCAGCAAGTAAGTCTGAGTAGTAATTAATAAAGAGATTTTGAACGTTGAGTAACCTGACAACACAGCGCGGCAGCAAATCAGTCCAGCGTGGCGGGTGTGTTCTTTTATCGTCACATTCAAACAGGCGATCCGGGTAAAGAAAACGAGACTTAATCGTCAAAGTTAAATCAGTCCGGTACCTCACTACAATCCCACACCCCCTGGTCCACCATAAAGACATGGCCAGAATTTTAACCAAGAACAGTATCAAAACGAGTCTGAATGGCGAGGAAGACTGGGCAGTCATGCACACGATCTGCATGCCCAGAGGGAGCGTAAGTGCATCTACCGGCAGGGAATCAGGAGTCAGACAACTGCCATCGTCCACCAGGCTGCGAGGGCGGTGGTTTGCTGATCCTGGCATAGCAGACGCCTACATTCCCTGGGCATCACCCAATAAAAGCACAGGAAGGGCACGCTGCGCGCAAGAGGGAATCGCGCCCTCGTACCCCTTTCCATGTCGCCTCCATTTTATTAACCTGCGACAGGGAACCGAGCAGTGAACACCCCTCATGCGGAATTCTGGCATACTGTGGGGGTCCAGGTCGCGTGTGTGGCAGGCGCCGACGGACCATTCGTGACCTTCTTGGCCAGTAATTCTAATCTCAGTTTGCTGACCAACTGAGACTATCGCCTGGCATAGGATAGAGGGAAGGGAGAGTGATGTCGACACTCAGTGCATAATTCACGGTGAGATATGAATCGTTGCTTGGAAGGGCGCCATCGGACGGGATTATCTGCGGTGATACGTCGCCAGCAGTCAAACCCCACCACCAGAATTGCGCATTCACACCGCACCTCCACTCAGTTTAGACGCGAGCCGTCTTGTTGTGCGAAATCCTGATCCTTTTTGTGTCTGGACCAGGATGTGTGTTGGCGCCCTTAGGCGCGGATTGACGTCGTGTCGACCACGGGAGAAGGCGTAGGTGGATGGAACGGCTAGACCCTCACCTACGCGCTATCCCACACGCCCTGGTCCATAACAAACACTTGACCAGAATTTAAATCAAGAACAGTATCAGAACGGATCAAAAAGGCGAGGAAGACGGGGCAACCATGAGCATGACCTGTACACCCAGCGGGAGTGCAAGCGCATCTACCGGCAGGAAAAAAGGCGTCAGAGAACTGCCAGCGCATGCCAGGGGGCGAGTGTTGTGGTTTGTTATTTCCGGCTTGGCAGACGTTTAAATTCCTTGAGCATCACCCAACAAAAGCACACAAACAGCACCCCACCAGCTTGCAGGAATCGTGTTCCTCGTCTGCTTCTCCATGGCGCCTCCATAATCTTAACGTACGAGATGGACGAACAGTGAAACCCATTCATGCGAAATTCTGGCAGAATGAGCGGTGCTAGGGTCTTGTGCCTGGCACGCCCAGACGGACCGCTCTTGATACTGTCGGCCAATAATTCCAATCTCAACAACTGTCCGGGACTATCCTCTGGCACACCGGAGAGGGAAGCGAGAGTGATGTCGACACTCGGTGCATAATTCACGGTGCGATAAAAGTCGTGACTTAGCAGGCTACCATTGGACGGGATAACCTGCTTATTCTTACAGGACAGAGATTCAGGCTACAATGACTCCATCTCAATGTGGCCTTTGTGGCACTTCCACTCAGTTGAGATCCGAGTTGTCTCTCCTTTCCTTGATGTCTGAAATCCTGGTCCTTTGCGTGTTTGGACCAGCATGTGTGGTGGCACCCTTAGACGCGAGTCCACGCCATGTCGACCACGGTCTCCTTGTCTAGGCCGCAGTACGGAACGGAGGTGGACGACGGTGAATAGAGTGCGATAGATGCTGCGCAAGGCCACTACCTTCATAAAATAGTTCACGCACATGTCATTGTTTCTGCGCCCACCCTGTTGATGGGTACATGTTGTCCATCGTCGAAAACGACGGATGAACACTCGTCATGTCGCCTGAGGGATGATGATGTTGGCGTGCGGGTAGTCTGACCGATTCCGTATTCTCACTTAAGAAATTGCTTTTCAAGTGTTATTATTATTACTTTAGCCAATACTGAAGGAAATGTATCTTTCACAAAAATTCAGGATTTACTCACTTTCAGGCTTTCAAATTGCGAATTCGAGAGTGAGTTAATCGAAGAAGAAGGTCGGTGGTTATCTAGAGCGGTAAAATCACCAACATTCATGTTTCGGACGTGCCTACTTGAGACAGCATCAGTATATTTACGAAAACCTGCGGTGAATGCAGACGTTATCAGCATTAACGAGCGTGTGGTAACATGGGGTATGCAGCTGATGGCATATATTTTTCAGCCATAGATCGCTTTATTTTTGACTCGCAGTTAATCCAATTGCCTCGAGGTTAGCACAAATTATTCGTCGGGCTGCATGCGAATGGATACCATTACAGCAATCTCCTCGAATGTCCCCACCGAGCACTGGCACTTCCAGAGTGCCGAAATCAGCAAAGAGTGATGGTACAGTAGGCCTCTCGGCGTTTGCCACCTTTTAATTTTGTAGAATTTTCATTAAATCCATTTGCAAAAAAATAGATGAAAGAGGCCAAGACAGAGGAACAGACGAGATGCACGATAAACGAATTACTTCGGCCTCTAGGATCTCGAGCAGGTTGCCACGTTTAAATCAGGCACCAATGTGTTCTGACGGTCCTAGATATAGCTGTATGACATTCCATGAAAAAGGAGCACACATTAACAAAAACGATGATCTCTTCAGGCCGGGTATGCGAAATCTGGAGTTGATAGCATCTTTTCAGCATCCACTTGCGCCTGACAGCCACATCCACCGGCGACAATGATTCTTCCCATGCGTGTGGTCCGCAAGACGGCAGCTGATATCCCAGATGAGATAGGGACCACAGGGATGGAGTAGGAAACACACGCAAGGACCTTAGATGTGGATTAAACTCTGCCGAAAGTTAATCAAGAACTTCAACGGAAGTGGTGGTAGACAACAGTCAAAAGGAAGTTTCCATACTCAAGATTGGCAGGGAGGGTGCAATAATTGTGAATACCAGCTCCTCGAGAAGAAACAAAGCTAGAAAACTACGGTAAATAAACGTCCGGAACTGAGACAAAATTAACACAAGCCGAATTGTTATAGGCAGGGGAGACAAAATTACAAACTGGAAGGATTGTTCGGTGGGACGTGCTGGGTAAACTAAAATATTTCGATGTAAACTGACGAACAAAAAGGTCACCTGAGCGAAAACATGCAAAAGACGTGGTAAAAAATAAATATTCAAAATTTAATCAATTACAGAATTGGGGAGTGTAACTCACAAATGAATAATCCAGGGATAAGGACTACCGAATGTTCTCGCTACGAGCGAGTGAAATTTTTATATCTGAAGGTAGCCGGAAAGATTAACGAATACTGTGCGATGAGGGAATAAAAAGGAAGAGTGGATGAACGGGTGGACGAAAGGAAAGAAATTGATCCCAAGTGAGAACACCAGGTAGAAGAAGGTTAAATGAGTATGAACTGCAGTCATTGGAAAACCCGAACAGAACGAAGAAAATGCTTTTCGCCGCCGCCATTCCGACGACTATATCCACGCAAGGGGCGATTGTTTGTGCTAGCACTTTTCCCTTACGAGTAACTGAACGTCGACATTCTTTGAGAAAACCGAAATCGTGGTCTCCGCACCAACCTGTAGGAATAAGATTTAAGCAGTATATTCTGAATATGAGATAAATTAAATAACCAAAGCTGCATAAGTTTTACATTAAAAGGCTATGTAAGAAAAGTGAAAGGGAAAATGTCGTAATAGCTGACTGAAATCCCCTTAAACTTGTATTCCAGGAAGGGGACTCTATTTCGTAAACATAACTCATTTCCGTAGAAATGCGTATTCCACGATATCGGTCTTTCTATTGAGTTATAACGCACTGGTTACCATCAAATGGAACCATCTGGAATTTTTCTAAAACAATTCTAAGTTAACTCATACAACAATGAAATTTATTAACACAACGCAGAGTTATTGATGTCTGCCATCCCAAGATGCCCTATTACAGTGAAATACTGATAGATCGCTAAATATCTCGACTAATTGCAAAGGACACATGCAGAAGTTGTACAAGCACACG